TATTTAATACCGTTGAATTTTCGATTGATTTCTTTCGGGGATCTCAAAAAAACAGTCATTTAAGTAATTTTATTTTTTATACCCACATGTTTACATTGTAGGTAAATAATTCACAGGCAAGTGAAAATAATTCTACATCAACTATTCATAGATATAGAAAAATCTCAAAGTTCCTGGGACAACATGGGCAAAATCCCAAGGAGGTTTGGGACCAATTTAAGCAAATGTTCAGGTTTCTATGGGATCCGTTTGATCTGTGAAATAAAATAAAATTTAAAAAATAATAATCAGAGAAATCCTGATTTCTCGGTATACGGAAGTCACGGAAAGCCCTTTCCAAGAAATACCGGCATCTCTATATGACTTTGGTAGAATTCTACTGGTATACTAATGCAAATGCTGTAATCTGATTGGCTGAGCCATTGTACACTAATAGCCATTAATATGCAGTGGCTTGGTGTGGTCGACAAAATTGCAACGTTTTCTCGTTTCTCCGAAGTTTTGAAAGAATATTTAGCATCAAATGGATAATCAAATTCCCGAGAAGACTAAAAGTAGGGCATTTACGGTTTCTTGAATTAAAAAAGCTCGAAATTTTTGAGAGAAACTGATAAGCGCCCGTGCACAACTGCAAATGTCAATTTGACAATTCAGTCCGAGCGAATTCTCTAAAGCCTGAAGTTTAATAGTAAGACCAGAAATAATTGGAATATGGCTATTTGAAGGAAATTTCAGTTAGAATTCTACTAAAACAATTAGATTATTCGCTCTCGATTTCTATGAGGCGATAGTTGATTCAAGCTGCAGCCTCATCACCTATCACCTCAGAAATCTCGAGCTCAGAATCTAATTGTTAAATAGAGGCCCTGTTAGGGGGTGTCTGAATAATCCATAATCCTGGGTAAATTTTGGAAACAATCCGTATCCCAGTTTTGCAAAATATAACAATAGAAGAAGAAAAAAGTAAAATTCTAAAACAATCTATTTTAGTAAGCCCTAGGTAACATTTTTGTGTCACGTTTCCTGGACACTTGTGTTAACAAAGACAATAGATTAAAAAAAAAAAATTATCCTTAGCGCGCACACTCACTACAAGCCTACGAAAACATTGCAGTACAATTTTCTCTTCGTGCCACCCACCACGAGTCAGGAAAGGCTTCAACAAAGGCGAAGCACTTAGGTTGCCACGAAGTAACTATTCAAAAATACCGTTTTGAAAGAATATTAGGGAATTTAGATCACGGCAACAAGCGAGAGGTTATCTAGATACTCTGGTAAATTACGTTCTCCCAGAAGTGAAATTCGAAGGGACAAAGTCGGTTCTTTAACAAAGGGAAAAACGTTGAAGAAAATTGCATCTTTGGTCAGAAAATCAGGAGCGTAGCGTGCATTTTTCAATAAGTACGCGCACCAAACAGAAAGATCATCAAGTTCTGAAGGGCGAACTGCCAGGAAGTTTTGGGGGCATCTTCCAGAAAATTCTTATATTTAGGGGCTCGGAAATGTCACTGCTCATGTTTTCCAGGGAACAATTTCATAAACCAAAGCGTGGGAAAATGCTTTGTAGTAATAATAACTTATGTTGTCTATATGCCAACCTTTGGGGAAATTGATAGTAGATTTAACAGGAGAAACTAGAGACTGTCAAACCCCGTGATTTACATACTAGGCCCTTTTTGCCGATGAATATATCTGAGCGATTTCGCAAAAACATGCCCGCTAGGTTTTCGCCTGGATTCGGGCAGGGCCCGAATCCAGGCTAAGCTGACGTCCTTAAACCTAGGGGGGCTCCGTCAAGGCCAGGCCGGGCACATGGCCAAGGCACTGGGCTATCTGCTGGTGGTTTGCTAGCGGCCAGCTGTCAAACGCAGGGGGAAGGGGAGGGTGTCTTGTACTGACACCCCCAGCTAACCACACTTTGAGTTTTCAGTGTTAAATAGCCTTGATATTAACTGTGTTTCTGGGAATTTTACTCAGTTGTTTAACCTTGTTTGAGGCTTCCGTGTTGACATGGCACCCTGCTGGAGTGGTCCACGCCACGTGCATGCGTGAGGGGCCAATCTCCTAGCCAGGGGGGTGGTCAGAGGACTTCTGGCTGGTGGGACTGTCTTTGAGTCAATGCGGGCATGTTTTTGCGAATTCGGACAGATATATATTTTCTGGATTTCCGGAGGTAAGGGGGTACGCGCTGCGTATATTGTCGCTATGTCCCTCGCAATACTACCCAGCGGAGTAAAGAACGTCCTATAAGCCTTTGTTGAAGGAGATCTGTAAAGAGGCTCTCATTAAGAGGAAAGTCGCTCAAAGACACACACGTGAGATCCAAACTCTAAAGAGCTATAAAGGCAAAGAAACTATTGGAGGGATCACTGGAGATAAATATTTGTCATTCTTTGTATGACTTTAATCTCTCTTTTATGTAAAAAAGCAATTTATGCAGTCGTGACCGATAATAATCGTAATCTTAACATGCGGCACAAATAATCCGTAATCTTTAAATTTGGTGGCCAATAATCCGTCTCCCTTCTCCAAAAATCCCTAATAATCCACTGAATCCCAAAGCCCTAACAGGGCCTCACTCTATGCCACTTGATCCTCTTCTGTTTCTCGGAAAACGATCGTGTTACTCCTGTGTTAGGCCAACCATGATTGAATCACGCTGATGGGCGGCCTGGCTCAACACGATGGGGAAAAAGTGAAATTAGTCGTCATGCAGACATTTTACTTCTGGTCTGCCTTCAGCAGAGCTGGAACTCTCAGGACTTTTCGCCTCGTTGCAAGCCCCCAGCGGTGTTTCGACTTCTCGCTTTTATCAATTGATTTTGCCAGAGATATTATAAATCGAACGCACTTTACCTTAGCATTTTAGTCGTCAAATGTTTTTTTTTTTTCTGAGTTAGGAGTACAGGTCAGTACGATATGAGAGAAAGTACTTGGTTTTATGTTATTTGGCTTCCGCTTTGTAACTCAACCAGCCCGGTACTCCCTTTAACCTGAATGAAATACACGGGGCGATAGTCTATAGGGACGAGATTTCACAAGTTCAGGAAAATGAAAGGGTAGGGAAACTGGCCTTTAGGTATTTAAAAGGGCCTTTAACTGGGACATTTCGAACAGACGCAGCTTACGGCTGTGAATGGGTTACCATTTTTCAATGAAGGCATTCGAAAGAGGTACCTTTTTCTGTCAAAATGATATGCAAAAGGTACGGGGTTGGATCTCGGGGCTCACTATCCCCGTCTAAAACTTTGTAGTGTCGGAATAAAATACCGAAAGTACCTCGGTTATCATGACCAAAACCAACAACTACTCAAAATGTGACAGTCACTGGAAGAAAATTAACAATTGTTATTAAAAAAAAAATCGGAAAAGGTCGTGTCAAAGTTACCCAATGTTATGCTCATATGTAGTTTCTTTTAACTAGGTAGAGTTGAACCTATTAAAGAAAAACAAGTTTAGCGGCGAGATTTCGATTAAAGTGAAGTAACCTCGCGCGATGGCTCTCTGCCAGCTGTCTAAAATCTAAGATATATCAGGTCTTAATTTTTAGAGCGGTGTATAATTTATATTCAAATCGAAAGTAAACTCATCATTGGAACTAAACTTCACCCTGTTATACCCGACATGCGATCTGGATCGGGTTTGACTGTAATAAAAATCGAAAGTCACAGCAAATCAAAAATACAACATCTCACCAACTAGATTTGCTTGAAAAACGTCGTGTGAGGTTTGACCCAAAGGAGTTGATGGCCTCATGTCGAGTAACAGCATTATCTTTAGTAGCCTTACTGCTAGTTTTACAATGATTGTCAACTACACTACTTCACACGGCAGTTTAAGCAAAACATGTTGTTTAATCTTAATTTTTTCTCTGCTCGCTTAATGCTACCACGAATACTGTGGGCAACAGACAAAAAAGGCTATTCGAACACAACAGAGCTTGCGTTGTAAATATGATGTAATAAAACGTGCCTTAAATAGGAAACCATTGCGTATAGAAAAAGCCTTTAACTACGTTACTTACTTGGTACCGCACCTTATTACGTAACTTTTTAACTCAATAATATGTATATGGCTAGGGACGAATGGCGTTTAAAGTACACTGTAAAATTCATTGATACAACTCAAGGTGACAGCTATCGTAATTTAGAAAACCTAAACTGTTCACATCAATCAATCAATCAATCAGTCAATTAATCAATCATTTATTTTAACACGTTTCGTCGAGGAACTAAGAACTCGTTCAAAACACGAACGTGTATAAATGAGAACTAAGTAATTACAGCTAATAATATTATTCTATTCTCGCTAATAATAATATTCTATTTTAAAACAACTTAATAGATATAGAAAAATTAGCAATAAATGCATAATACATGATTTGCTAAGCCCTACAAAAAAAATCTTCTTAATTGCTGGTAATCTCTTATTCTTACGTACTAGTCGGACTTCACGCATGCAAACTTTACTTTACATATCTAACTCACAGCTACAGTTTAATATTAAGCTCGGCCATTATAGAGCGCTTTCATTGTCACGCAATAGAAAATAAAATCAAAAACCATTCAGTGGATAAGGTCAAGAAATTGTGATGTTACAGACGATAAATAAAGAAGACAGTTCTCCAAGTTTAAGGTGTGTGCGTTGTCTTAAAGTTGAGATATTCGTCGAAATGTTCCGCGCAAATGTACAGAGCCTAGTATGGGGCCGCCATGTTGGTGTTCCTCTGTGGTACACCAACATGGCGGCCTGAAAATCCGTGTTAACATCTGGAACTTACGTTGGTTATCTGGGACAATGATCATCTGCACTGAACAAATAAAAATTTAACTAAGCACTTTTCCAAATACGACAACGTCTTAAATGGCTAAAAATCACGAGATAAATACATATTTTTAGAGAAACGCGATCGTAACTTTATGTCACGCACCGCCATAACTTCGAAATTCAAAATGCGCTGGTTTCCAAACGAAGGGCGCTATTGAGCTGAAAAGTTGTAAACAGATATAACTTTAGTGGCTCTTTAGTTTTGAATTTAACAATTTGATGACGTCACGTGAAAACGCTCTATAAGCAGGGCTAAAATACTACAAAGTACGCCAATTTCTGAATTCCAAGAAAATCTGTAATGAGCTTAAGTATCTACGATGCTACAGGCACATGTAAGTTATTGTTTTGAGAACCACACTAAAATATTGACTTGGAGTACATCTCTGATATGGCAATCTAAAAAAGAAAAAGAAAATTAGAGGAATTAAAACTAAAAATTAGAGAGAGCTGCTCCCGGTTGTTCCAAGGGTGGTTAACGCCGTCCGCATGATATTTCGCTATCAGCGGATAGCGTAGTACGCTTGGCTAACGTTTATCCACTGGATAGTGGTTTATCCACTAAATAGCGTTATCCGGCCTTTGAGCAAATGGCCCTTGATTTAATAAAAGGGAGCTTTAGATTTGAGTACGAGTACAAGATGGAGTACAAGATGGAGTACACGATCTCTCTCATGAGCTACCCTCTATTCCTAGAACCAACATGTTTTGATATACGAAAATCGTGCTCGTACTCAATCTTGTACCCGTAGTCCAATCTAAAGGTCCTTAATATTGATGGCATTCACTTGCATCAATAACAATAAAGATATCGTTTCTTTACTAACACTTAATATCGTCGGTCACAAATTACTCCTTAATTTCGACGCGCGAAGTTTCAGCGTTAATTTGTAATTACCATTATCTTCGTCACAGGGGGGTGGGGGGGGG